TCCGTGGTCCTGCAGATGAGCCTTCTCAGCACTACATAGCTGCCTGGGAGTTGCTCGCCCAGTGTGGTCTCCTGCACCTGTTGTCCTGTTTGCTTCCGACTGGTCACCCTCCACTCTGCCGCTGACTCGGCCGCCTGGAAAGGCCTCTCGCTGGCGCGCGGCCTCAGCTCCTTGCTGCGGGCCTTCTTCTTGTTGCAAGAATGCCAGTTTATTTCTGTCCACATTGTGCGGACGGCTTCAGCCGAGGTTATGATCCTTCTTTGCTTGGTTTCCAGCCCTCCGAGCGTTGCGATGTGCCCTGGGCAGCCTTTCCATCCTCGTTCTGCACCTGCACATACCCGCTGGAAAAGGACCTTTCCGCCTATTTGGCTCCCGCTTGAAGAATGCTGGCCTGCTGTACCCCTGTCGGGTCAAGCCGAAGCCTGAAACCATTGGAGAATCCGTCCAGCATTCTTGGGTTGCCCGCCGACCTGCCGGTCTCTTCGGACTTTGCGGATCTGCATCCGCATCTGCACCAACAAGTCAAAAGAAGGGAGCGTTCAGCTGGTGCTTCTTTTGTTGCTGTTCACGTACATTCGTAACGGACGAGTGCTTGCAGTGAACGTGTATGTACTTGTACAGTGGTGTTTGCTGCCTGCACGCAACGGCATAGCACGTACGCCTGCGAGTCTGCCCGCCCGCAGTCTTGGCTCGCAGGGCGGTACTGCTGCTTGTGCTAGTCCGTTACTCGCGAAGAGAAACTTTACCGCCGCCTCCCCTCCTCCTTCCGTCTTCCATGCCGCACACCCGTACTCACTGTGGCCTGCGCTCTGGCTGGACAGATTGGGCCAATGTGTCCCCTCTGCCCAGTCAGGGTGTGATGGCTCCACTTCCCGCACTGCCTGCCAGACCCAAGCCACATGTGCCTCCGCATCATTAGCTGGTTCCTTGCATGCAGCTCAGCGAAGAACAGCTTGACGAGAACGATGAAGAAGCGGCAGAGAAGAGAAATAAGTCAGCAGACTCACGTGTTCCAGAAATGTCTCACAAGTGTCCAATTGTCTCAAGTGCTCCACGTGCTTCAAAGTGTCCCAAGTATCCCAAGTGTTGAAGTGTCCCAAGTGTCTAAGTGTCCCAGGTGACAAATTTGCAAATGAAGACATGGAAGCACGTTGCTCGATGAGCTCAGAGAACATGGTTGACCTTGATCCATGAGCATTCTTGGCCGTCTATGTCGTACGGCTTTCAGCGTTGTTGCTGAATCGTTCCTACAAGTCCCTAGCAGGAATGACGCTGTGCGAAGTAATGGTGGGTGCACCGTTCTGTGGTGATTTTGAACTGTTCGAAGCACGATCATGGTGAACAGCTGGAGGTTTTTAAAGAATTTTCGTCGCTTTTGAATGTTTGGGCCTTGGGGGCCACATGCATAAGCTCTGCGCGCAAGAGAGAGATGCAGACCTTCAAGTCCGTCAATTTTCCAGAGAGCTGCAAAGCCTCGGTGTGTCTCGTTTAATTGTCAGAAAGTGTCGAAAGCTGCAGTCCTCCGTGTTTGTCTTTGCTTTCGTTCGCGCCGTAACGCGACAACACCTTATGTGTTGGGTTTGAGCCTGCAGCTTCCAGTTTGGACACCCAGGCTAGCGCGGGCAAAGGTAACCAGCAGGATGTTGACGGCGATGTGCGGCGTTGTCTGCCTGGCGGGCGGCACCGACAGATGGAACTCTAGCACCTAGCTGGAGCTGCATAGCCCAGATGTGAGCCATGAGCTCGAACAGGACACGGCCGAGGCCGTCTGGGCGGCATGGTGATCGGCCTGCTCTCGGCAGCAGGAGCACGCGGCCGACAAACCATGAGCCGTCCGTGCAATTGTCTGGAACACCCGCGAGGCATACGGCATTCGCGAAAGTATCCACAAAACGGGCCCAAGAATGGGGGCATTCTTTGGACACCTTTTGGCAAAAATCCGGGCCCAAAACAGGCCCCTTTTTTGCTTGTGATGCATTCTGCCATTTGGGGTTCATGAGACGCACATGATTGTACGAGGTACGAGTGCGAGAAGTTCAAGAGGTGGTCACCAGGTGCACAAAACGTAGACGAAACTGTGTTTGCCATGCTCTTTGCTGAGGGCGGTGCCCAACTCGGTTGAATGTTGCTTTACTTAACTAGGTGACAGGCCGAAAAATCGCCATGTGCACATGGAAGTTGCTTTGATGTTCCTTTTCAGTGTTAACGGGCATGTTCGAAATACGAAGATAACGATGGGAAGAACGTGGAAAAACCAAGATTTGCTACATGGCACATCCTACCACCCTAAACATGCATGTCTTTTGTGCTGTTTTGGCTGCGGTCTGGTAACAGTGGGACTGCATAGCCTTTGGTTCTGCAGGCCGGGTCGCAGACAAAACAAGTTTGTGTGTGTAAGGTTGTTTGTATTGTGTCATGACAGTTCTTTGGCGTGGCATGTGCAGGCTTCACTAAATATGCGGGCTGCTTCAGTTGGCACGGGCCGCAGCGGTGCAGACAAATGGGTTTCAGGATTCATTCATGGCCTGTGCTTGTGATGCGGCAGCAGGGCGGTTCAGGTGTGCTAGTTGGCGCGCTTCAACTTTGGGTTTCGTCTCCCACGTCGAGCCTTTGTTGAAGTTCAAAGGGCCGCCTGACAGGAAGGGGCATGTCATGGAGGGGAGGTCATGAGGTCTTTGCATGTGGTGTCATTAGCATTTCATGTTTCAGGCTCCTTTGCTTTCAGCCTTCCTCACTGCCCCATACGCCCAGGTGTCCTGCTCATAGTTGCCTTGGTCGCGCTCGTCGCGCCGAACCTTGGCTTCGAAGCTTCCAAAAGACTCCTAGCCCAAACCTTCCTCCCAGTTTGCCTGTGCATCGTTAAGCTTTTTGCCTCTGTCCGCTCCGAAGCCGCACAACTGCCGAATCAGGAAGGCGCTATCGAAAGCTGCAACTTTTTGTCAACCCTACCTCCTGATTAACCCCTTGCCCCGATGCTGAGGTCATTCAATTTTCTTTCCGGCACCTTCCGGGCAACGGTGCCACCCCGCAGTGCTTAGGAATATGGGACACAAGAACTGATTTTCTTCAGAAAGCAGTAGGGATCGCAGGGTTAGGAGACTTTGCTGGAAGGTATCAGCCATGTGGATGTTGTCACAGGCCCTCATGTAGTATTTCGGAAAAGCTGTGCTGCCACAGGGTTCGATTCTTAGGGATCGTTGCGGCTGTACAGTGCCCCTTTTCGCTGAGAGTTACGTGCGATGCCCGCCGCGCTCACACGTAGTAGAAGGTCACATGACCATGTGGGGGCAGAAGCTAGATAGGCAGCGGCTGCACCAGCATTGCCACGTTCTTCCATAGATAGATCAGCAGAGCATGGTTCATGAAGGCAGATGATTTCAGATCGCATTCTGGTCTGTGGCTTTTGAAGCCAAAGCCTCAAACCCACAGCCACAGCCCACAACATAAATGCCTAGCCTGGCGAAAGCACTGGCAGCTGTGAATTCGGAATTGGCATGTTCGGCTGGGCTGAAGATGGCCCCGACAGTGATGAGGACGGATCGCTGTGGCAAGTTGATGACATCACTTGCCCATGAGCCTTCTTGAAGTAGGGTTCCACGATGTTCCAGTTGTCCGGACTGGGGGTTATCAGGGTTTGGGCTCGGGGTGTTTCGACTTCGATGCTGAGCGGTGAGGAGGGGAAGAACTGGAAAGTGCCCGCCGCACTACGAGTGTATTTGGGATGTATATGGATGTTTTTTGCTTTGTGGAACTTGAACCGGGGTTGCCGGGTTTCAACGTGTGAAGCATGTGGATGTTGTTCTGTTGATTCCCGAACGACAGCATGAGCTCTTGACCTTCTGCATGGCTTGCAGATCAATCTCCGCGGAATCTTCGGGAAGCAATCTGATCTGCTGTTTCATGGATAAACCAAGAAGGTGCATGTCAGGGTCGAACCGACCCTCAGGACGTGCGTACTTGCATGCCCACGAACAGCTGTGATATTGTTGCCCCACAACAGCTTTTGAGGCCAAGCACACATTCTCTTGCTTCGGCAGGCGCGCGAGGACGCTGCTGACGACGGTTTTTCGCCAGCGACCCCTGCCTCATGTTCTTCTTGATGCATTGTCGCTGCTCATGGAAGGTCTGTGCTTGGCCCAGCTTCCTGCCCCAGACCCTCAAGCCCTCTGTACCCACCCACCTTCACAGCCCGTCTAGGAAGGAAGTGTTTCCTGAAACGACGGAGCACGCTAGAATACCCTAACCCCTGGGTGCCCAGGGAAGAGTTCGAGCAGTTCTCCCCGCAACCTCGGCAGAGAAGGCCGCTCGTAGAGAGGGCAAGTCTGGGCCGCTTGCTTCACTTCGGGGGTTTAGGAACAGACAAGGGGTGTTCGGTTTCTTATCGGTAAGAACCACAAAGCGGTCCTTCAGAGTGTCGGAGCCGCCACTTCTCGCGAGCCAGTTCTCACAACAAGCCTCAACATCGGGGCCGGGTCTGCATCAGTAGGGGTCGGGCCAGACTTTTCGCAGCCTAAGGCTGCACCCCAAACCTGTAACCTGAACTGAAAACCGAGATCCAAGGCGTGCTCTTGAAAACTTGTGCCCGCTACAGGCACTCGCAGAGCTCCCGTCGGTCCTCTCGAAGCTCGCGGCAGTCAAGGCAGGGCTTCGCCTCAGGTTTAGACCTTAAGAGTCTTGAGGTCAGGAAGTCAGAGCTTATGCCGGTTCAGCCTGTTTAGCCGGTTTACCCGGTTTAGCTTTTAAGTTTCAAAGTTGGAGTTGGGAAACAAGTGGGGCTTCTCAACCCTGGACCCTTGACCCGCTTCAACAAACTGGGCCAGCAGAAGCCCCGCATTCTTGGGTTGCGGCTGCTCAAGCTCGGGTTTCAGTGTTTCAGGAAGTTCTTCATGTTTGGGCCTTCTATCGTTTATGGGAACGATGTGGATGATGTGAGGGGGTTTGGGTTGCGGCCTGAGGCGTTCTCAGACTTCGCGAGGCTCGAAGGACCGCTCGGGTGTCCCATGAGTCCAATGTTGGCTTCTTGGCTGTCGGCTTCAGGCGTGCAGGAAATCATTTGAGGGTTTCGGCCTGTGATTTTGTGTGGCAGATGCCACGTCAACTGTAGCTACGCGTTTTTGCGGCAAGCTTGGGGGATGCTTTCAATGCGTCCTTAGCATCCTTGAACAATAATATACAGACAGTCGCATCAGCTGCAAATTCCAGCCATGCCTAAACCCAAAGGTCCAAACGGTGGTTGTCTGGAGCCCCACACAACCCGACCAGGAGTCTCCAAGTGGAGAGCAAGCGCGGCAGAAGTTCGCTCCTCGCCACAAGTTTCCACCAGCATCCGAAGTTTTTTCAAGCTTAAGCCCTGAACCTCCAAGAGCCGAAGACGATCAGCCCCTGAGCTATGCCACAAGCTCATTAAACCCTAAGCTCCGGAATCCTCGAAACCCTGAAGCCCTAAAGCCCTGATGCCTGAAAACTTCTGACCCCGAAAACCCCTATAATCCTACAGACGCTTATGCCCTTGTAAGCCCCAACCCTTTGCCACGAAGATCTGTCATAGAAGTCCAGAAGCCCCAAAAAGCCCGAAACCCCTGAAACACCTCCCAACCCTACTCAACCCTGACAACCCCGAGCCCTAGTGAGTGAAAACAGCCCAAGTCCCTCTGAACTGTTCAGGCGGAGCGCACATCCCTGGGCTCCGCCTTCTCTTCGGCCTCGATCTTCGAGACATATCGGCCGACGCCGGAATCGGAGAGGTGGCTCGGCGGTTTGGGGTATGGATCCTAGAGGATCCTATAGGGCTGGGGGTTCAGGGTTCAGGGCCTGGGGGCTCCAGAGGATGGAGATTCTTTGGATTTAGCATGATTTCGTTTGGGGTCTCCTCGATGCTAGAATTCAGCCTGAAAGCCTCAAAATGCCTCAAACGCATGCACCTGGTGTCCCAGGAATTGCTGCGAGATCTGCAAGCCATTCGCGCTCTGGCTCATCTCCATCTTGGCAACTGCAGGCACAGCACAGTCACATCCCTCCTTGAAGATCACAACCTTCCCCTGATACATCGTAGTTGCCCATAAATGTCTCAGCCAAACCCGTTTAAAGTCTCACGTTTGTGTTTGGAGAGCAAGCCAATGACGCGTACACGCGTCGTCTGTGTACATGTAGACATGTATAGGCTCGATGCCGTGCCTCTTACTTCGCACCCTGCACACGGCATCGGCTGAAATGCTGGCTTGAGTGGGATAACTGCGTTGCCGAGCCAATACCACCCTTTGGCACGCGGACGCGAAAAGTCCAAAAACATCGAGTTTTTTGAATTGGGGTCTGGCGCGTAATCACAAAATTTTATTGAACTGAAGTTTGTGAAAATGGACGGCTCAGCTATTTTCGGATTCTCAATCTGTGCAAAAGACACGCAGGTGTTTTTGTAATCAGGCGTCCGTGGATGTGGCTGGCTAAGCATGAGAGGTCTTGATGTGTTTCTGCTCAATATAAGAGTCACATGAATCAGAGCCATGGCCATGCCCTAAAGAATCGGGGAGCCCGGCCTTCAGCTGCAGAGTCCAAACCGAGCCAACAGAAAAACTCGACCCGCGAAATCCGCGTTTTTGGCTTCCGACAGGTGCCACGGTGCCATTGTACTCAGTCAGGGGCTTTATCCTCACGGAGGGGTCCTTCGGCTACAACACCCAGGCCGGGCACGGGGGCTGAGCATTCTTTGCCGAAGAGCCAAGGGTCAAGAGAAGCCAAAAAACTGACTGAAGCCCCGAAGCCCATCCAGAGGTGAGCGACCCTGCCACGTCGCAGCTCCGGCGCTGGCAGCGTGCCGCTCGCCTGGCGGAGCACGACGTGGGCTTGGGCGTGCCGGCAGGCAGTGTATGATGCCCTTGCAGTGGCAGTAGTTCGTTCAAAATTTCCCATTCTTTTCTTGTATTCTTCCAGTCTTTTTGCATAGGGTTCCATAAGGCCGCTTGGAAGATGGAAGGGATCAGGGCTTGCAGGGTTCGAAGTTTCGGGGAGGGTCTAGGTTCCGGAATCTAGAGCTGTGGGAGTGAGATTGTGAGGTTAGGTTGCGTTGCGTTTGTGAACTCGCCCGTCGTTGTAACGCTTTACAGGTTTGGCACTTCCATCCTTGACGGGGCGATGACGCTTTGCAGGCGGGGTTGACAGCATGGCCGACAACGTCACCTGGCGTCGGGTGGCGGGCAGCTGAGCATTTCTGGGTTTGCTTAGTGGAGGGCCTAGTCTAGGGTGTAGGGTTCAGGGTAAGCCTGCTGGGCAACTGTCCACAGGCGTAACTTGCTAACTACGGGAACAGGTTTGCTGAGGTTACGTCGATGCCATGGACTCAGATCTCAAGAATGCCAAAGCCAAATGTTCCTAAACCCTACACAAATCGAAACCTCAAGGAAAGCAAAAACTCACCCCACAACTCCGAACTTCTCCTCCCTACGGCCAAATTCGAAAGTCCATTTCTGCAGTTCTCCGCGCTCAGGCGCTGGTTTATCAGATGCCCGGGACGGACGCAGTCTCCTCGATCGGCTTGCAGCGAGCAAAGGCTGGTTCTTCAAGATCTGGTTGCTTTGAGGGGGCTTCGGGGGTAGGGGAGTTGGGGGGTTGGGGCACAAGTGTTTTGTTCAGGCGTTCGGGTGAGGGTAAGCTCTGCATGTGCCTTGGGGTCGAGTTGCAGGCCTGCAAAAGTGCAAAATCGCGAATCAGACAAAGCTTTGCGCTGCCTCCACCTTGCACCAGCATATCTTGCACCAGCAAATCTCAGTGCCTGCAGGTGGTGGAAGATTCCATCAGATCGCTTCCAGGCCAGCTCTCGGGATGCGGTTTTTTTTTCCAGACAGGGTCTTGAAGGTAACTTCTAGTATAGAAATCCTTATCGCACTTGTGAACACTGTGCATCGGCCCGCCTCCACCTGGCTTCACGGGCAGAGGGTTGGTGGGGCTGTGGGCACAGGCTTACCACGGCACGGGGCCTCGTAGGATTAAGGCTTCTTTTGGTCTTGTTAGGGGTTTCATTCAAGGAGTTTAGCCCTCAAGTTCTTAAGTTGGGAGCTTCACCCCTGAAACAAAAGATTCAAGACTCTCAATTTCTGAGCTGTGCTGTCCCTCCTTCAACAGGCGCTCAAGGCGGTTTGGCCGAGGGGGGGGGGGCGAACAGAAAGTTTCTGGTATGGGGGGAAGGACGAGGCGAATTACTGTGCATTGCAAGGCTGGCAGAGGCTTTGTGGTGAGATGCCACCAAGTGGCCTGGATGCATTTGAGAGGGGGGGCCTTTTTTGGGACGGAGCGCCTGGCACCAGCTGCAATGTGGCAACCTTCGTTCCGAGGTTATCAAGGCTTGTGCCGGGAAGGACGCTGGCATCACCAGTTGTGTGCTGTAAGCCCTAAGACCATCAAAAAATCAAGTTGCGTCGCTAAGTGGCCGCCACAGCACGAAAGAATGATCCCATAGCGCCGGTTTGGCTGTACTTGTTCTTTAGCTTGCCCTTCCTACCAGGAGATTCGATGGTCTCTGCTTCCCATGCCACAAGTCGGCAGGCGCAAAGCTTACGCTCCAGAGACTGTGTGGGTTTTCGTGTGAGGGCGTTGGCCACTTTGCAAAAGACAGCTGTATGTATTCACACCCAGATCCCACAATCACAAAAGTGTTTCACCCAGGCCCCAAGCTCCTGTAAGGAAAGCCTTAAACCCCACATCTGCTAGGTCAGCGCCTCGCTGGCGGCCATGGGGGTCTCGGCAGAGCTGGGCCTGGACGGGAACGGCACCGAGGCAGGGGCTGTCTTTGCGGGTTTTGAAGCTTTTTGCAGGAGCCTTCGAATGTGTTTTCTGGTGCTTCGCCTTTGCGAGTGCTTTGTGACTTCGGCCTCTTTGGAGCTTGTCCTCACCTGTCAACACGCTTCATGGCAACAGAGACGAAGACGATCTCTCAGCTAGGTCAACTGGATTCACAAGGTGCTCATACATGGCTTGGAGGTGCATATGTGCTAAAAAGTAGGGGTACAAGTAAGTCAATCCATGCCTGCCCCTTTTCCGGGACTTATCATCACACCAGTTGTGGCCATTCGCATAGCGTTCGCAACTCTACACACGATTCAGGTCAGATTAAGCCCGAGAGCAGGGCTTCTTGGGGGTGCTGCTTCTTTTGGAGCCACTCCCGCCCTTGACCCTAACGTGCACAGCCTGGTAGTTTCTTAAACCCCGAAACCACAGCCAGCGAAGCTGAAAGCAGGTGCTGATTGGCACAGAAACGCTGTCCCGGATCATGGAGGTCCGGTCTTGCTTCGGCTCGTTCTCTGTGGCTTTTTAGTAGTTTTTAGACCGGGTTTGATAGCTTTGGTACACGGGTGAGCTGAACTGTGGGACCCACACAGCATTCAATCCTCAAACTGAGGGCCCTGGAGTTTGAGGTTAAGGCCTCAACCCAAAAGCCTTGACCACAACCCTAAACCCCAAAACTTTAGAGCCCTAGGACCCAAGAACCCTAAAACCCCAAGACTAAGACCCCAAACCCTCGAAGTGGAAGGAGGAGGCCCCTGGCACCTTGGACCGGTGGCTGCCGAAGGTGTGGGCCTTTGATGGGGGGGAGGGGGGGGGGGAAGAGCAGGACCCTGGGCTTAGAGCTTGTTGATGAGGGTTTGGGGTTGAGGGTTGAGGGCGGTGCGGGTTTTGGGTTTTGGGGGTGCTCCGGGTCTAAGTTCCAGAAAAAGCGGGGTCTTTGCGTTCTTGTAAAGGCTGGATGAGCCAAAGCCGGCCACGCAGTTTTACGCGGGGGGGGAGGGGGGGGTCCAGGGGGTTCTACCCCAAATATGAACCCGAAAGCCCGAAAGCACTAAACCCTAAATCGTGAACCCCACGGTGCTCGTGAGGATGAGTCTGGGGCCCACAGCTTCTTCGCTTTTCGCCCCTGGCTCTGCACGCCTCAGGGTTCGTTCCGGTGGTTTTCTGGCTTCAGGGCAAAGTTTTCAGGTCACCTACCCATACGTAGGATTTTGGAGTTTTGTTTGGGTTGAGGATGTCAGGGGTAAGGTCGTGGCGAGGCTCGTTGGGGCCGCGACCGCCGCCTCGCAGCTTGAACCATAGGTCCATAGGTCGTGTCGAACTGCTGCCAGAGCCCCGGGACATTCGCTGAAACCCTGAGCCACCTACCCTGCACCCTGAAACGCCCCCCGAATAAAATTAAATGCAAACTCAAAGCCGCCTAAGCCCCAAAAACCCCTTGCTCCCCTAGAGCCCCTGAAGCCCTGAAGTCCAAGGCTCCAACTTTGTTTTCGCGCTTCGCTTGGACACGGCAGCCGCCAGCTGGGCAGAGCTCATCCTCGAAGAGGCAGGAAGTGGGCCTAGCTTCGGGCCAAGAAACCTTCGGGGGTCTGGATTTAGGGTTTCAGGGTTTAGGGTTTAGGGTTCCGATTAGGGTCATCGATGCAACGAGGCGTTGCATGGGAATGTGAGCTTGCTCAAGCCAACTACCTCAAGAAGTCCTTGGGCGCGCCACTCGCTTGAAGTCGAGGCTCCTCCTCAAACCCTTCTTCCCGAAAACCCGCGACCTGAAACAAAAATGTCGCAACCCTCCAAGATCCCTCAAACCCAAACCTGGCCAGGTCGAGCCAAGGCTGGTGGAACTGGGCATGATGAGCCCTGAGCTCAGTGGGGCCGCCTGTGAAAACTTGATTGAACCCAACTAGCCCGAGTATAAAGACCCTAAACTCTCAAACCCTTAGAAGCATTAGAAGCAGCTTGTGATAGTAGTGGAAACCCTTACATACAAGGCCCCCCTAAGTTGGAGCAAGCGAACTCTGCTTTTCACTCTCCAAGGCAGCCCCTTCATCCTGAACATTCCTGAACCCAAGCTGCCAGGTGCGGCGAGGGAGGAGCAGAACGACTTCCGAGTCTACCTGCAGGTGCTGTGTGGGAAAGCAGCCTGACACTCCAACCCTGATCACTGGATGGTCAGGGTTTTAGTCCGGAATCCGGGCCTTAACTTAAACTTCTTTTCAAGAACGTAGTTTAGTTAGGGGCTCAGTTTGTGGACCGTGGCAGAGGCCGACAACCTGCCCCAGCTCCAAGCCAACGAGCTGCGGCGGAGCATGAACGAGGATTTGCGGCTTTACGGGGCTTTACGGGGCTTTACGGGGCTTTACGGGGCTTTACGGGGCTTTACGGGGCTTTACGGGGCTTTACGGGGTTTTAGGTTTCCTCGCGTTTTTCGGATGGGTTGTCGGGTTGAGGTTGAGTGAAAGGACGTATGATTCCATCGCAAGCCCAAGTTTCGCTCGGACATTCGCCAGCCTGCATGAAGTGAGAAATGGCGTGCAATTTTGTAGACACTGATATCCCCATATCACCCATATCTGAAACCAATCTTGCATGCACAGCTGTGACCCTCTGCAAAACTTTAAGAGAGTGAACCCCACCCACCCTAACTTCACAGCTTGAGCCCAAGCCCCCCCCATCCTAAGCCTCTGAAGCCGCAAACCTGAAGCCCTTTGGAGGACCTACCCCTTCTCGTCTTTGGCCCAGTGAGCGCCTTCGTGGCCACTTTGCCGCTGGGCCGAGAGAAGTCGTGAAAGCTGTGGTTGCCGGGAGACCCATCAGCTGAACTGCCGCAGCCCATCTGCTCTCTATTCTAACAAACACACCCTTAGCCCCGAATCCTGAGCCAAAGGCCGACCATCCCCAATAGCAACCTTTTCAGCCCCCTGAAAACCCTGAGAACCTTGTGAACCCCTGGAACCCCCTGGAGCCCAGGCTCCGCGGCCGACTTCTGGTGGCGCTCACTGCAGCGGCGCCTGGCCCCAGCTTCTCAGTTTTTGGAGGGGTTTCCTCTTTGGGTTTTCTCTTTTTTTTTTTGGTGGGGGTGGGGGGGGGGAGGGGTTTGCTCTCAGAGGTTCGTTTGTGCTGGTTTAAGTAAGGGCTTCGGCTATTTGGGTTTTTGGAGTTCGGGGGTCAGGTCCCAATCGGGGGGCTCATGTGTGCTTTTGCAAAGGCAAGAAAAAGTTGTCCGAGCAAAACGTACCCATGAGCCAAAGCAGCGTTTCGTCGGACCGTTTTAGGGGCTTAGGGCTCGAAGCACGAGACCCTTGAAGCATCACAATGGCCAAACCTCTCCCCAAAGTGACATTCCTTAACTTAGGTCTCTTTTTTCAAAAACCCTGCGGAGTGGGGTTCCCGGAGACTAGAGGTTCGGGGGGGCCTCGCCAGGTGCTGGCCTTTGCTGTGCCCGTGATTGCTTCGATGGGGCTTTTGGGAGGCAGCGACGAGCTGCTTGGGGGCGTGGAGGCCGCCTGGGGGTGTGAGGGTTCGCACTTGGGTCTGCTTGAGTCGGAGGGTCAGTGGAGCAAAACTGGAGGTGGCTTCAACATGTACACATGTGAGCTCTCATGCTGATGATGTTCTGTTTCTTGGCCTGCCCAGCGTGGTGAAGGGCCGGCGCTGATGATGCTTTGTTTCTTGGCTTGTCCAACGCGGGGAATCGCAGGCTGATGCTGGTGATGCTTTGTTTCTTGGCCTGCTCAGCGCTGATGCTGATGATGCTCGGTTGAGGGCCGGCTGATGCTGATGATGCTTTGTTCTTGGCCTGCTCAGCGCTGATGCTGATGCTCGGTTTGAGGCCGGCTGATGCCGATGATGCTTTGTTTCTTGGCTTGTCCAGCGCGGGGAATGGCCGGCTGATGCTGGTGATGCTTTGTTTCTTGGCCTGCTCAGCGCTGATGCTGATGATGCTCGGTTTGAGGGCCGGCTGATGCTGATGATGCTTTGTTTCTTGGTTTGTCCAGCGCGGGGAATCGCAGGCTGATGCTGGTGATGCTTTGTTTCCTGCTCAGCGCTGCTGATGATGCTCGGTTTGAGGGCCGGCTGATGCTGATGATGCTGTGTTTCTTGGCTTGTCCAGCGCGGGGAATGGCCGGCTGATGCTGGTGATGCTTTGTTTCTTGGCCTGCTCAATGCGGTGCAGGGGCCGGCTGATGCTGATGATGCTTGGTTTGGGGGCCGGCTGATGCTGATGATGCTGTTTTTCTTGGCTTGTCCAGCGCGGGGAATGGTCGGCTGATGCTGGTGATGCTGTGTTTCTTGGCCTGCTCAGTGTGGTGCAGGGGCCGGCTGATGCTGATGATGCTCGGTTTGAGGGCCGGCTGATGCTGATGATGCTGTTTTTCTTGGCTTGTCCAGCGCGGGGAATGGTCGGCTGATGCTGGTGATGCTGTGTTTCTTGGCCTGCTCAGTGTGGTGCAGGGGCCGGCTGATGCTGGTGATGCTCGGTTTGTGTTTCTTGGCTTGTCCAGCGCAGGGAATGGCCGGCTGATGCTGGTGATGCTTTGTTTCTTGGCCTGCTCAGTGCGGTGCAGGGGCCGGCTGATGCTGATGATGCTCGGTTTGGGGGCCGGCTGATGCTGATGATGCTGTGTTTCTTGGCTTGTCCAGCGCGGGCGATGGCCGGCTGATGCTGGTGATGCTGTGTTTCTTGGCCTGCTCAGTGTGGTGCAGGGGCCGGCTGATGCTGATGATGCTCGGTTTGAGGGCCGGCTGATGCTGATGATGTTTCTTGTCTTGTCTGTTGGTTGGCACAGGGCAGTGACGGGCCGCAGGGACCCGGAAGTGCTTGGGCGCTGCCAGGTCAGGATTGTCGCGGCAGCAGCCTGGTTCCTGGTCGCAGCAGGCGCAAAAGTGAAAATGAACGATTTGGGCGGGTTGTAGGTTTTACCCTCAGCCCAAGATACTGAGCCGTAAATCGAAAAATATTCTTGTCCTGAAGGCTTCCCCAGACCCGGAAGCCTTGACACAACGCCCAAACCCCTTAAGTCCCAAAAACCGCATAAACCATCCCTGACCCTCACAACCCTCAGCTTTAAGCCCCCCGTAAGCGGCCTTGTCCTTTCCGGATGTTTGGCTGGCCGGTTTGCCAAAGCGTACAAAGTCATCCGCAGGAGCATTCTCTTGCCCTGGCGAGTGACTTGAAGTGCGATTTCGAGTGCGTACCTCCCGAGTGTTTTGTGTCCAAAAGCAGACGTTGCTGCTGAAAAGCCAAGCCCGGACCTTCGGAAAGAAAGAATGACATGAAGAAAGCAAAAAGACATGATGGAGGGCTGCTCCCCAAATCCCTCTTCTATAGCAAGAACCCAAAAGACGCCCCGGCTGCCAGAGGCGTGGCGGACCTCAGCGCCGCCTGCGCCCACGCCATGGAGGAGTTTCGTGGGTTTGCTTAGAGGCTTTGTGGTTTTAGGGCTTAATTTCGGGGCTTTCGGGCGGGTTTATGATGAAGGGTGTTAGGACCTTTAGGGCCGTAGGATTAGGGCCTCTTGGGCGAGGGGGTCAGGTTTTTAGGGCAACTGTGCTTTTTCGGTGAGCTTCGGGCTCGCAGGCTGTTTAAGGCAGAGCTTTGCTCAAGTATGTGGTGTTCTTTTGGGGCCCAACTGCAGGGAAGATCCTCCCAGAATAAAGGGTTAATGGCGACTTCATGAGTTTTAGAAGGCTTTGATGATCTAAGCCCGGAGCCCCAAGCCCTCAAATCCTCTAAACTCTAAACCTCGAAGCCAAAACCATGAGACATTCAACCCTAAACCGCAAACCCAAACCCTGCTAAACTGCACCTGGGCCAGGAGCGACGCGAGAGTCATCGGCTCATGGCGCCCCAGTGGTTGCTCGTTGGCCTGGGCCTCGGAGATCCCCAAACCCGAAAACCAAAGCCTAAAGCCTAAACCCTAAGCCTCTCATATATATGGACACACGAACGCCCTTGGGCCCGCCTTGGACTTCAGGGTTTAGAGCCTACTATGGGGCCCGGGGCTTTAGGGTTTAGGGCCTATCAGCCTTGTGCTTTAGGGTTTGGGGGCACTGGGCCTTGGGCTTTAGGGTTTCGGGCCTATTGCACCTTGGGCTTTGGGTTTAGGGATAATTTGGCTTTGGGGTCTGGGGCCTATTGGGCCTTGGGCTTTCTACTGGAGCCTTAGGCTTTGGGGTTTAGGGCTGATTGAGCGGTGAACGCTTGAACTTGAGATGCTGAACCCTAAGCCCTAAACCGTGGACCCTAAACCCGAAGCTTCGGGGTTTACCTGTACGTAGGGTCACAGCTCCATCCGTAACTGCATGTTCAACCTACTTTAGGCTGCATTTTGGGTAGCAGGGCTGGGATCGGGAAGGATCACGTGCGTGTAGGTTCCAATTCTTGGCAGTCTTTTGGATTTCGGGCTTTACGAATCCCCCTGCCCTCGACCCTCGCACCGAAAGTGTCGGTTTAGAGTAGGGGGAGTGTTGCCACCCGAAACCCTAACCCTGAACGGCACCAGCGAGCCAGTTCGAACTGAGGACTGCTCTCTCAGACGTCTCAGTCAGAGACTGTTAGCCCCTTGCGCCAGGCGGGATCCGAAGCCCTGGTGTCATTGATACCCCTCCCACAAGCCCTGCAAGATGTGCGATACCTGTAAGAACACCCCAAGGGAGCCAGACATCAAGCTCTGCAACGCATTTTGCCGGCATGCAGGGGGACTGACGCATAGACTCAGCCCTCTACAGTGGTGTCCCACTGTGCTTGACCTCAGGTCCTACTCTACGTGGCCGGAGAGGTGCGGGCCAAACTGGGGTCACTTCTTTGGAAAAGTCTTGGGGCAGTTGAAGAGTGCATTGAGAATCCCAATGGACTAGTATCGAGCCCTCAAAGCACTCACGGCTGTCAACACTGCTCGGAGGAGTTGCAAGGGCACCGGGGAATGCTGCTAAAGATGTCCCGCTTTGCCGTCGAGGCGGGCTGGGGGTGCTGAGGCCCTTGGAGGGCGTCTCCTTGGTTCTGCAGGATTCTTCGTCTTGTGCCAAGATGCCTCAAACGTTCACAGAGCCCGCTTCAAGGCACTCCTGCCTACAGCTGCAGTGGGAACCGGGCTCGGCTCACTGGAGAAGGGCTTCAGACCTGATGATTTACGCCAGCAATCGATCATGTCAGACTTGTTTAAGAGGTCGGGGAGAAGGCCGAAAGGCCTTGAACAAGGACTGAACTCAGAAACGGGAACCCCTCAACCCCTCCACCCCTAAACCCCGAAAAGCCCAAAACCCCTCAATTCCTAGAAGCCGTTAACTCCCCGAAGGCTCCAGATCCCTAAAGCGCGTCCAAAATTCCCCAATCACTCTTAAAGTCGCAAATCAATGAGGCTTGATGCTGCTGCTCCTCTCGGCACAGGCCGACCTAGAGTTGGTCTGCACCTCGCTGGGAGGGGGCGGGGAGGGGGGAGGGTCCTTGCTTGGCACCAGGGCTTCGGCTGTCAGAAAGTCGTGCGTTTGAGGGAGCTAGGACAGGTCGAAAGCTGTGGGGATGCCATCGGTGTCCGAGGCCTGAACTCCACCCCAATACCCCCCCTTTTAGTTGGGGTTCCCGAGGTGGCGAATTTCGGCGTCCACGCGGGAATGGGCCTCCTGCTTTGCGCACCTCTGACGGCCGGAAGCTGCTGGTTGTTCAGATTTTTGGGCTTTGCTAGGGCTTTTGGCAAGAGCTTCCGTGCTTGTGTCGTTGGGGTTCTTGATCTTGGAGCAGCATGGTTCAGAGTTTTGGAGACTGAGGTTAAGCTGCTTGAAGGGGTTGCACTTCAACCCTTAGTGAATCATCAACCTCAAGCCACATGGACGTGTGGTTTAAGGGTATTGGGGGGCGAGGGGGTGCAAGTAGGACGAGGATGCAAGGTTTAGGGCTGTGAGGGTTTAGGGTCGAGTGCAGCCATCGTTGGCTCTTTCACAGGTGTTCTCCTGATGTTGCCATGCACGGCCGTGAGCAACGTCGGCGCAGGGTGCACATCCCTCCCAGAACCACAAACATCAGGCCCTTGAAGCCCTAAACTCTGACTCCCAATCTGCAGCCCTAAACCCAAACTTGGAGGCTCTGATGGTGCCTCCAGCAGTCGAAGCCGGAGACGCAATTGCCCCGCTCCTACTTTGTGCAAGGCCCTTGTTCCTCTCGTACTAAGGCGTATTAAGGGCCTTGGGATCATGAATTCTTAATGTCATTGTCACCGTCATGTCATTGCAATTGCCATTGTCATTGTCGTTGTTTTTGCTACTCGTATTGCACAAACAGGAGCGTTGGGGTCCTCTGCAGAAAAGCAGAACACGCTGGATGGATCGGTTGAATGCAGCTCGGGATGCGGGTTCGGAGATTGGGTGCGCGCAAGCTCTGGGCCCACGGGTTTGGATGGGTGAGTGATGGGTGCCAGGTCCCGGCGCCTGCTTGAAATGGCAAAGAACCTTCGCATTGTTTCGTCTGAAGCAATCTTTCTTCGCAGTTTGTGGAAAGACTTGCGTTTGGAATTGCTGTGGGGCCGCACGCACCAGGGCCCGTAGCGCAGTGGGCGATTCGCCCGCGAGTCGCTATCATCCCTCGCCGCTAGGCTTTCATGGACCAATGGCCCCGATCGCCAGGCGATCGGCGTCCCTGTGAATTTGGCACTGCGGTGACGAAGGTCGGATGCCACGCGTGGGTTGGTGAGACCCGGACCAATTGCTAGGCCGCTAGCTTCTTTTTTTTGGACGCCGTGAAGGCAAGAGGGTCCCAAGAACCTCTGGAGCACCTTCCGCATCTTCCGCAGATGTGTCACGACAAACTGGCTGCTAAAGTGGGAGCTTCTCCGAAACACATTTTTTGGTCATGTCGTGTGCCGGCTCGCGCGCTCTCCCTCGCTCCCTCCCTCTCCCTCTCCCTCGCCCTCTCCCTCTCCCCCTCCCCACCCAGGAGGATTGTAAGTTCATCCATTGGCAAGGACACCGAAACAGAAGCTCCCATAACTTGACGTCCGTACTGTTTGGGGTCTTCGCCAGCACTAGTTGCAAGCGTTCTTGTTGGCCACCGGCCAAGCTGCTCCGTGCCGCGCCTTTTCTGGAAGCTCGACCCCAGATCTCAAGTATTCCAAGCCGTGGCATGCTGTCCTGGCTGTCTGCCTGAACCTACAACCCTAGAACCCTACAACTCCAAAGCAACTCCAAAGCCGTGCAACCTAAAGCCCAAACCCTACAGCTGACAAGAATGGCGCCGCAAAAGCCAAAAGCCCGAAGCTCCTGAGGCTGCGCGTGTTCAGGCCTGGCGTGAGGCCTGCGACATGGAGCTTTCCGAGGCACGGGTGTTAAACGCATTCTGATCATCCTCTGATTTCATGCAGAGACTTGAGGGTGTAAGATTTAGGGGATTTTAGGGCCACTTTTCGAGTGGACATGGGAGCTTGGAAACGTTTTCTTTACCAGAACTTCGAAATGTAGGCTACCGGAAGAGTATCCGAGTATGTGGAACTTGTCGCATGTGTCCTCCGCAGGAATAGGTGTCAGCAGTGTTCTGATGTTCTGACGAGCTTGGGGGCCAGCTCCTTTTTCCTATTTCAATTCGGCACCCAACTCCCTACCACAGCTGCATGTGGGCTCAGCCACACGGCACGTTATGCATGCCACGGCATACGTTTGAGTGGCATGTGCAGCGCACTGCACATCCACTTGAAATCTGTAGATCCTGGGAAGTCCTCAAGGGCCTCTGCATCTCATGACCTTCTGCCTTTACAAACCTTCTGACGCCACCAACTGGTTTTCCAAAGCTGCCAGCCATCAAAGGCTTTGCAGGCAATCTTCGACAACACGTTCCCGTTTGAGCTGGAATCTGAGCTTTGCACCTTGAGGCATAGAGTTCCGATAGAAATGTCTCAGGACCTATACACGGGCTCGGTTGCGTTGCTTTCCTCTGCCTGTTTGTCCTGCTTTCCTCCTTGACGTAAACCTCAAGAGAGCCCGAAACCCTTAAGTTGAGTCTCAAGAAGCTGCGTTCTGCTGTTCGGAGTTTCTTTAGCTGCCATGTCCAGTCTGAACTGGACTACCGGTAGCTTGCTTGAAAGGTTTGGGGTGACTTGACCTCTTACTTAACTCCAAGAACTCTAAGAACCCTACACCGTGGGCGGCCCTTGGGCCCGAAAGAGCCCTTGGCATTTCCTTGGGAAGCGTAAGGTTCGGGGCCAAGCAGGACTTGGCCATGGACCTGAAGCTGAAGGCTTTGGGGGGTTGTAGGGGTTGGGGGGGTTTAGGTCTCGTGCTCAGGGTTTGTGGGCTTTTGACTCCTTTTTGTTCTTTGTAGGTTATTCCAACGTAGACCATCGTAGACCCCAAGCAGTGAGAGACCGTGTGGGCCCAGACGTCCACAAGCGGCGATGGCAGTTCGTGAACCCCGAAGTCCAAGAGCGAGGACAGTTTCCAGGATGGCGAGCGCGGCCACTCCCTTTGCCAGGTAAGAGTGCGCTTTCCAAAATGCCCAGCAGGCCTCGAGAAAAGCCCATGGTGTGCAGCAGGCGCGCCGGCCGCGCGGGCCGCGCGTACTAGCTGGTCCAGCCCCACTTACTTTACATGTTAGAACTCCTATTCTTGATACCATGCTGGATGATGCTGGCGATGGGCAGGTTTCTTGGGTGCATGTTGCTGCCTTGGCTTGCTAAGATTCCACGTTCGAGTTTGTTTCGAGCTGTTCTGGCATCGGTTCAGGGGCTTGGTGGTTCCTTTTCCTCTGTTCGCAGCTCGCGTGGCTGGAGTGACAACTGACAGCATCATGCAAGCGCTTTCATGTAGCTGTGAACCTGCCAGATGCGGAAGCGAATGCGGGACTTCCTGCGCGTGAGGTCTTCACCCTCAGCACGTGGAACTCGAAAATTTGTTCGAGTCATTCAGATGCCATGTTCGATGTCGGTTACACGCCCAAACATGTTGCTATGCTTTGTGTTGCCGCAGACCTGATGCTTAGAATTAGCGGAAGGAAAATGACAAGAATAAATGTCCGTGCAGGTGGAGCATAATCGGGGTGACGCTCGTCATTGCAGGCCAATCCTACCTGTTTTCATCGTGGACATCGCAATCCCTTGACTTAACTACCTCTAGGTTCTAAGCTCAAAACCCCCCGCCCAGATCCTTGCCGACTGCTGCCAGTTACACATCTACTTCGCCAGGATTGCTTCTGGTCTATGTTGTGATGGTCATCCTGCCTGGTTGGACTGCCGATGGTGGCAGCTGGTTCATGTAGGAAGTCAACCTGCATGGACGATTTGTTACATAGCGGCGTGATACTTGCATTACAAGTTTCTAGCAACGGTAGCTCGGCAAGACAAGTGCAGCCGCTGCGCCTCGCCGCTGCTTTGCTCAGCACCAGCTCGAGAGGTTTGCAGGCCGTGTAGTCGAAGCATTCGCTACATTTCTCGCCATGGCGGACCAGCTGACTGAGGAGCGTGTAACTCTAAAAATTGTAGAACACGGTAGGGGTTTTTAAAGCTTCTGCGTGAAGGATGCAAAAGTTCGTGAGTACCGAGCCTGGAACCTGTCCAAGATCGCAGTTGCATGAGGAGCAGATCGCCGAGTTCAAGGAGGCCTTCTCCCTCTTCGACAAGGATGGCGACGGAACCATCACCACCAAGGATGGGCGTGCTGCTTTGATGCTGGGGTGGGGTGGCAAATGCTAGAGTGAGAGAGACCCGGGATTGCCGATTCAGAGTTGCAGTGTGACATGGTGTGAACGCAGTTGATTTGGAATCCAAAAAGGAGCTGGGCACTGTGATGCGCTCGCTGGGCCAGAACCCCCACGGAGGCCGAGCTGCAGGACATGATCAACGAGGTGCGCTCTGAGCTTTGCGCAGTAAAGGTTCACAGTTCTCGCTCACGGTTGACTGGGTGACTGGGTGCAAGCCGTGCAAGCTACATAATAAAGCAGGGTGCCGCAGGTGGATGCCGATGGCAACGGAACCATCGACTTCCCCGAGTTCCTGTCCTTGATGGCTCGCAAGATGAAGGCGCTGGAGTTGTGAAAGTTTCGGTTTGAGAAGCTCCAGTCCCGAGTCGAGACTGTTGAACATCTTTCAGCGTGTGCGCAGGACACCGACACGGAGGAAGAGCTCATCGAGGCATTCAAGGTCTTCGACCGCGATGGCAACGGTTTCATCAGCGCGGCGGAACTGCGTCACGTGATGACCAACCTGGGCGCCTGCCTGAGTGGTTCTGGAGGGGGCGCGGGGGGTGCTGGTGTGGGTGGATGAGCCATGACGTTCGCATGATGTTCGCATGATGTTCGCATGATGTTTATGTGAGCGATAGAGACTTGAACATCCCCAGGCGAGAAGCTCACGGACGAAGAGGTCGACGAGATGATCCGCGAGGCCGATGTGGACGGTCCGGACCTGAGTCACCCGAGTGACGCAATGTGACTCATGTCACACTGTCGTGTCTGTTGGCGCCTTCTACGACAGCTGTCACCTCGTCCTTGTGATTCACGTGTGTCCTGCGACCAAAAAAAGGCGATGGCCAGATCAACTACGAGGAGTTCGTGAAGATGATGATGGCCAAGTGAGGTGTCGAACGCGACGCCGCCTGCAGGTAAAGCGCTGGCCGTAACCGCATTGGGCCTGCGAAGCGATTTCCCGCTCGAAGCTGTATCATGGATCGCAACTGTGCAGTGGAAACAGTGAGCCAGCTGCACGAGGTAGGCTAATGCATGCTGATGATTCCTGTGCGTCGGCAGATATCTTGGAAGCCATTCCAATCCCGGATTTGACAGTTGCCGAAGAAAAGGCGACCGCCCGCTGCTTTGCTCAGCACCAGCTCGAGAGGCTTGCAGGCCGTGTAGTCGAAGCATTCGCTACATTTCTCGCCATGGCGGACCAGCTGACTGAGGAGCGTGTAACTCTAAAAATTGTAGAACACGGTAGGGGTTTTTAAAGCTTCTGCGTGAAGGATGCAAAAGTTCGTGAGTACCGAGCCTGGAACCTGTCCAAGATCGCAGTTGCATGAGGAGCAGATCGCCGAGTTCAAGGAGGCCTTCTCCCTCTTCGACAAGGATGGCGACGGAACCATCACCACCAAGGATGGGCGTGCTGCTTTGATGCTGGGGTGGGGTGGCAAATGCTAGAGTGAGAGAGACCCGGGATTGCCGATTCAGAGTTGCAGTGTGACATGGTGTGAACGCAGTTGATTTGGAATCCAAAAAGGAGCTGGGCACTGTGATGCGCTCGCTGGGCCAGAACCCCACGGAGGCCGAGCTGCAGGACATGATCAACGAGGTGCGCTCTGAGCTTTGCGCAGTAAAGGTTCACAGTTCTCGCTCACGGTTGACTGGGTGACTGGGTGCAAGCCGTGCAAGCTACATAATAAAGCAGGGTGCCGCAGGTGGATGCCGATGGCAACGGAACCATCGACTTCCCCGAGTTCCTGTCCTTGATGGCTCGCAAGATGAAGGCGCTGGAGTTGTGAAAGTTTCGGTTTGAGAAGCTCCAGTCCCGAGTCGAGACTGTTGAACATCTTTCAGCGTGTGCGCAGGACACCGACACGGAGGAAGAGCTCATCGAGGCATTCAAGGTCTTCGACCGCGATGGCAACGGTTTCATCAGCGCGGCGGAACTGCGTCACGTGATGACCAACCTGGGCGACTGCCTGAGTGGTTCTGGAGGGGGCGCGGGGGGTGCTGGTGTGGGTGGATGAGCCATGACGTTCGCATGATGTTCGCATGATGTTTATTTGAGCGATAGAGACTTGAACATCCCCAGGCGAGAAGCTCACGGACGAAGAGGTCGACGAGATGATCCGCGAGGCCGATGTGGACGGTCCGGACCTGAGTCACCCGAGTGACGCAATGTGACACATGTCACACTGTCGTGTCCGTTGGCGCCTTCTACGACAGCTGTCACCTCGTCCTTGTGATTCATGTGTGTCCTGCGCTCAAAAAAGGCGATGGCCAGATCAACTACGAGGAGTTCGTGAAGATGATGATGGCCAAGTGAGGTGTCGAACGCGACGCCGCCTGCAGGTAAAGCGCTGGCCGTAGCATTGGGCCTGCGAAGCGATTTCCCGCTCGAAGCTGTATCATGGATCGCAACTGTGCAGTGGAAACAGTGAGCCAGCTGCACGAGGTAGGCTAATGCATGCTGATGATTCCTGTGCGTCTGCAGATATCTTGGAAGCCATTCCAATCCCGGATTTGACAGTTGCCGAAGAAAAGGCGACCGCCCGCTGCTTTGCTCAGCACCAGCTCGAGAGGTTTGCAGGCCGTGTAGTCGAAGCATTCGCTACATTTCTCGCCATGGCGGACCAGCTGACTGAGGAGCCGCGTGTAACTCTAAAAAATTGTAGAACACGGTAGGGGTTTTTAAAGCTTCTGCGTGAAGGATGCAGAAGTTCGTGAGTACCGAGCCTGGAACCTGTCCAAGATCGCAGTTGCATGAGGAGCAGATCGCCGAGTTCAAGGAGGCCTTCTCCCTCTTCGACAAGGATGGCGACGGAACCATCACCACCAAGGATGGGCGTGCTGCTTTGATGCTGGGGTGGGGTGGCAAATGCTAGAGTGAGAGAGACCCGGGATTGCCGATTCAGAGTTGCAGTGTGACATGGTGTGAACGCAGTTGATTTGGAATCCAAAAAGGAGCTGGGCACTGTGATGCGCTCGCTGGGCCAGAACCCCACGGAGGCCGAGCTGCAGGACATGATCAACGAGGTGCGCTCTGAGCTTTGCGCAGTAAAGGTTCACAGTTCTCGCTCACGGTTGACTGGGTGACTGGGTGCAAGCCGTGCAAGCTACATAATAAAGCAGGGTGCCGCAGGTGGATGCCGATGGCAACGGAACCATCGACTTCCCCGAGTTCCTGTCCTTGATGGCTCGCAAGATGAAGGCACTGGAGTTGTGAAAGTTTCGGTTTGAAAAGCTCCAGTCCCGAGTCGAGACTGTTGAACATTTTTCAGCGTGTGCGCAGGACACCGACACGGAGGAAGAGCTCATCGAGGCATTCAAGGTCTTCGACCGCGATGGCAACGGTTTCATCAGCGCGGCGGAACTGCGTCACGTGATGACCAACCTGGGCGCCTGCCTGAGTGGTTCTGGAGTGGGTGGATGAGCCATGATGTTCGCATGATGTTCGCATGATGTTCGCATGACGTTCGCATGATGTTCGCATGATGTGTATGTGAGCGACAGAGAATTGGACACCCCCAGGTGAGAAGCTCACGGACGAAGAGGTCGACGAGATGATCCGCGAGGCCGATGTGGACGGTCCGGACCTGAGTCACCCGAGTGACGCAATGTGACTCATGTCACACTGTCGTGTCTGTTGGCGCCTTCTACGACAGCTGTCACCTCGTCCTTGTGATTCACGTGTGTCCTGCGACCAAAAAAAGGCGATGGCCAGATCAACTACGAGGAGTTCGTGAAGATGATGATGGCCAAGTGAGGTGTCGAACGCGACGCCGCCTGCAGGTAAAGCGCTGGCCGTAGCATTGGGCCTGCGAAGCGATTTCCCGCTCGAAGCTGTATCATGGATCGCAACTGTGCAGTGGAAACAGTGAGCCAGCTGCACGAGGTAGGCTAATGCATGCTGATGTTTCCTGTGCGTCGGCAGATATCTTGGAAGCCATTCCAATCCCGGATTTGACAGTTGCCGAAGAAAAGGCGACCGCCCGCTGCTTTGCTCAGCACCAGCTCGAGAGGTTTGCAGGCCGTGTAGTCGAAGCATTCGCTACATTTCTCGCCATGGCGGACCAGCTGACTGAGGAGCCGCGTGTAACTCTAAAAAATTGTAGAACACGGTAGGGGTTTTTAAAGCTTCTGCGTGAAGGATGCAGAAGTTCGTGAGTACCGAGCCTGGAACCTGTCCAAGATCGCAGTTGCATGAGGAGCAGATCGCCGAGTTCAAGGAGGCCTTCTCCCTCTTCGACAAGGATGGCGACGGAACCATCACCACCAAGGATGGGCGTGCTGCTTTGATGCTGGGGTGGGGTGGCAAATGCTAGAGTGAGAGAGACCCGGGATTGCCGATTCAGAGTTGCAGTGTGACATGGTGTGAACGCAGTTGATTTGGAATCCAAAAAGGAGCTGGGCACTGTGATGCGCTCGCTGGGCCAGAACCCCACGGAGGCCGAGCTGCAGGACATGATCAACGAGGTGCGCTCTGAGCTTTGCGCAGTAAAGGTTCACAGTTCTCGCTCACGGTTGACTGGGTGACTGGGTGCAAGCCGTGCAAGCTACATAATAAAGCAGGGTGCCGCAGGTGGATGCCGATGGCAACGGAACCATCGACTTCCCCGAGTTCCTGTCCTTGATGGCTCGCAAGATGAAGGCGCTGGAGTTGTGAAAGTTTCGGTTTGAGAAGCTCCAGTCCCGAGTCGAGACTGTTGAACATTTTTCAGCGTGTGCGCAGGACACCGACACGGAGGAAGAGCTCATCGAGGCATTCAAGGTCTTCGACCGCGATGGCAACGGTTTCATCAGCGCGGCGGAACTGCGTCACGTGATGACCAACCTGGGCGCCTGCCTGAGTGGTTCTGGAGTGGGTGGATGAGCCATGATGTTCGCATGATGTTCGCATGATGTTCGCATGACGTTCGCATGATGTTCGCATGATGTGTATGTGAGCGACAGAGAATTGGACACCCCCAGGTGAGAAGCTCACGGACGAAGAGGTCGACGAGATGATCCGCGAGGCCGATGTGGACGGTCCGGACCTGAGTCACCCGAGTGACGCAATGTGACTCATGTCACACTGTCGTGTCTGTTGGCGCCTTCTACGACAGCTGTCACCTCGTCCTTGTGATTCACGTGTGTCCTGCGACCAAAAAAAGGCGATGGCCAGATCAACTACGAGGAGTTCGTGAAGATGATGATGGCCAAGTGAGGTGTCGAACGCGACGCCGCCTGCAGGTAAAGCGCTGGCCGTAGCATTGGGCCTGCGAAGCGATTTCCCGCTCGAAGCTGTATCATGGATCGCAACTGTGCAGTGGAAACAGTGAGCCAGCTGCACGAGGTAGGCTAATGCATGCTGATGTTTCCTGTGCGTCGGCAGATATCTTGGAAGCCATTCCAATCCCGGATTTGACAGTTGCCGAAGAAAAGGCGACCGCCCGCTGCTTTGCTCAGCACCAGCTCGAGAGGTTTGCAGGCCGTGTAGTCGAAGCATTCGCTACATTTCTCGCCATGGCGGACCAGCTGACTGAGGAGCCGCGTGTAACTCTAAAAAATTGTAGAACACGGTAGGGGTTTTTAAAGCTTCTGCGTGAAGGATGCAGAAGTTCGTGAGTACCGAGCCTGGAACCTGTCCAAGATCGCAGTTGCATGAGGAGCAGATCGCCGAGTTCAAGGAGGCCTTCTCCCTCTTCGACAAGGATGGCGACGGAACCATCACCACCAAGGATGGGCGTGCTGCTTTGATGCTGGGGTGGGGTGGCAAATGCTAGAGTGAGAGAGACCCGGGATTGCCGATTCAGAGTTGCAGTGTGACATGGTGTGAACGCAGTTGATTTGGAATCCAAAAAGGAGCTGGGCACTGTGATGCGCTCGCTGGGCCAGAACCCCACGGAGGCCGAGCTGCAGGACATGATCAACGAGGTGCGCTCTGAGCTTTGCGCAGTAAAGGTTCACAGTTCTCGCTCACGGTTGACTGGGTGACTGGGTGCAAGCCGTGCAAGCTACATAATAAAGCAGGGTGCCGCAGGTGGATGCCGATGGCAACGGAACCATCGACTTCCCCGAGTTCCTGTCCTTGATGGCTCGCAAGATGAAGGCGCTGGAGTTGTGAAAGTTTCGGTTTGAGAAGCTCCAGTCCCGAGTCGAGACTGTTGAACATCTTTCAGCGTGTGCGCAGGACACCGACACGGAGGAAGAGCTCATCGAGGCATTCAAGGTCTTCGACCGCGATGGCAACGGTTTCATCAGCGCGGCGGAACTGCGTCACGTGATGACCAACCTGGGCGCCTGCCTGAGTGGTTCTGGAGGGGGCGCGGGGGGTGCTGGTGTGGGTGGATGAGCCATGACGTTCGCATGATGTTCGCATGATGTTCGCATGATGTTTATGTGAGCGATAGAGACTTGAACATCCCCAGGCGAGAAGCTCACGGACGAAGAGGTCGACGAGATGATCCGCGAGGCCGATGTGGACGGTCCGGACCTGAGTCACCCGAGTGACACAATGTGACTCATGTCACACTGTCGTGTCTGTTGGCGCCTTCTACGACAGCTGTCACCTCGTCCTTGTGATTCACGTGTGTCCTGCGACCCAAAAAAAGGCGATGGCCAGATCAACTACGAGGAGTTCGTGAAGATGATGATGGCCAAGTGAGGTGTCGAACGCGACGCCGCCTGCAGGTAAAGCGTTGGCCGTAACCGCATTGGGCCTGCGAAGCGATTTCCCGCTCGAAGCTGTATCATGGATCGCAACTGTGCAGTGGAAACAGTGAGCCAGCTGCACGAGGTAGGCTAATGCATGCTGATGTTTCCTGTGCGTCGGCAGATATCTTGGAAGCCATTCCAATCCCGGATTTGACAGTTGCCGAAGAAAAGGCGACCGCCCGCTGCTTTGCTCAGCACCAGCTCGAGAGGCTTGCAGGCCGTGTAGTCGAAGCATTCGCTACATTTCTCGCCATGGCGGACCAGCTGACTGAGGAGCGTGTAACTCTAAAAATTGTAGAACACGGTAGGGGTTTTTAAAGCTTCTGCGTGAAGGATGCAAAAGTTCGTGAGTACCGAGCCTGGAACCTGTCCAAGATCGCAGTTGCATGAGGAGCAGATCGCCGAGTTCAAGGAGGCCTTCTCCCTCTTCGACAAGGATGGCGACGGAACCATCACCACCAAGGATGGGCGTGCTGCTTTGATGCTGGGGTGGGGTGGCAAATGCTAGAGTGAGAGAGACCCGGGATTGCCGATTCAGAGTTGCAGTGTGACATGGTGTGAACGCAGTTGATTTGGAATCCAAAAAGGAGCTGGGCACTGTGATGCGCTCGCTGGGCCAGAACCCCACGGAGGCCGAGCTGCAGGACATGATCAACGAGGTGCGCTCTGAGCTTTGCGCAGTAAAGGTTCACAGTTCTCGCTCACGGTTGACTGGGTGACTGGGTGCAAGCCGTGCAAGCTACATAATAAAGCAGGGTGCCGCAGGTGGATGCCGATGGCAACGGAACCATCGACTTCCCCGAGTTCCTGTCCTTGATGGCTCGCAAGATGAAGGCGCTGGAGTTGTGAAAGTTTCGGTTTGAGAAGCTCCAGTCCCGAGTCGAGACTGTTGAACATCTTTCAGCGTGTGCGCAGGACACCGACACGGAGGAAGAGCTCATCGAGGCATTCAAGGTCTTCGACCGCGATGGCAACGGTTTCATCAGCGCGGCGGAACTGCGTCACGTGATGACCAACCTGGGCGCCTGCCTGAGTGGTTCTGGAGGGGGCGCGGGGGGTGCTGGTGTGGGTGGATGAGCCATGACGTTCGCATGATGTTCGCATGATGTTCGCATGATGTTTATGTGAGCGATAGAGACTTGAACATCCCCAGGCGAGAAGCTCACGGACGAAGAGGTCGACGAGATGATCCGCGAGGCCGATGTGGACGGTCCGGACCTGAGTCACCCGAGTGACGCAATGTGACACATGTCACACTGTCGTGTCTGTTGGCGCCTTCTACGACAGCTGTCACCTCGTCCTTGTGATTCACGTGTGTCCTGCGCCAAAAAAAGGCGATGGCCAGATCAACTACGAGGAGTTCGTGAAGATGATGATGGCCAAGTGAGGTGTCGAACGCGACGCCGCCTGCAGGTAAAGCGCTGGCCGTAGCATTGGGCCTGCGAAGCGATTTCCCGCTCGAAGCTGTATCATGGATCGCAACTGTGCAGTGGAAACAGTGAGCCAGCTGCACGAGGTAGGCTAATGCATGCTGATGATTCCTGTGCGTCGGCAGATATCTTGGAAGCCATTCCAATCCCGGATTTGACAGTTGCCGAAGAAAAGGCGACCGCCCGCTGCTTTGCTCAGCACCAGCTCGAGAGGTTTGCAGGCCGTGTAGTCGAAGCATTCGCTACATTTCTCGCCATGGCGGACCAGCTGACTGAGGAGCCGCGTGTAACTCTAAAAAATTGTAGAACACGGTAGGGGTTTTTAAAGCTTCTGCGTGAAGGATGCAGAAGTTCGTGAGTACCGAGCCTGGAACCTGTCCAAGATCGCAGTTGCATGAGGAGCAGATCGCCGAGTTCAAGGAGGCCTTCTCCCTCTTCGACAAGGATGGCGACGGAACCATCACCACCAAGGATGGGCGTGCTGCTTTGATGCTGGGGTGGGGTGGCAAATGCTAGAGTGAGAGAGACCCGGGATTGCCGATTCAGAGTTGCAGTGTGACATGGTGTGAACGCAGTTGATTTGGAATCCAAAAAGGAGCTGGGCACTGTGATGCGCTCGCTGGGCCAGAACCCCACGGAGGCCGAGCTGCAGGACATGATCAACGAGGTGCGCTCTGAGCTTTGCGCAGTAAAGGTTCACAGTTCTCGCTCACGGTTGACTGGGTGACTGGGTGCAAGCCGTGCAAGCTACATAATAAAGCAGGGTGCCGCAGGTGGATGCCGATGGCAACGGAACCATCGACTTCCCCGAGTTCCTGTCCTTGATGGCTCGCAAGATGAAGGCGCTGGAGTTGTGAAAGTTTCGGTTTGAAAAGCTCCAGTCCCGAGTCGAGACTGTTGAACATCTTTCAGCGTGTGCGCAGGACACCGACACGGAGGAAGAGCTCATCGAGGCATTCAAGGTCTTCGACCGCGATGGCAACGGTTTCATCAGCGCGGCGGAACTGCGTCACGTGATGACCAACCTGGGCGCCTGCCTGAGTGGTTCTGGAGGGGGCGCGGGGGGTGCTGGTGTGGGTGGATGAGCCATGACGTTCGCATGATGTTCGCATGATGTTCGCATGATGTTTATGTGAGCGATAGAGACTTGAACATCCCCAGGCGAGAAGCTCACGGACGAAGAGGTCGACGAGATGATCCGCGAGGCCGATGTGGACGGTCCGGACCTGAGTCACCCGAGTGACGCAATGTGACACATGTCACACTGTCGTGTCTGTTGGCGCCTGCTACGACAGCTGTCACCTCGTCCTTGTGATTCACGTGTGTCCTGCGACCAAAAAAAGGCGATGGCCAGATCAACTACGAGGAGTTCGTGAAGATGATGATGGCCAAGTGAGGTGTCGAACGCGACGCCGCCTGCAGGTAAAGCGCTGGCCGTAGCATTGGGCCTGCGAAGCGATTTCCCGCTCGAAGCTGTATCATGGATCGCAACTGTGCAGTGGAAACAGTGAGCCAGCCGCACGAGGTAGGCTAATGCATGCTGATGTTTCCTGTGCGTCGGCAGATATCTTGGAAGCCATTCCAATCCCGGATTTGACAGTTGCCGAAGAAAAGGCGACCGCCCGCTGCTTTGCTCAGCACCAGCTCGAGAGGCTTGCAGGCCGTGTAGTCGAAGCATTCGCTACATTTCTCGCCATGGCGGACCAGCTGACTGAGGAGCCGCGTGTAACTCTAAAAAATTGTAGAACACGGTAGGGGTTTTTAAAGCTTCTGCATGGAAGGATGCAGAAGTTCGTGAGTACCGAGCCTGGAACCTGTCCAAGATCGCAGTTGCATGAGGAGCAGATCGCCGAGTTCAAGGAGGCCTTCTCCCTCTTCGACAAGGATGGCGACGGAACCATCACCACCAAGGATGGGCGTGCTGCTTTGATGCTGGGGTGGGGTGGCAAATGCTAGAGTGAGAGAGACCCGGGATTGCCGATTCAGAGTTGCAGTGTGACATGGTGTGAACGCAGTTGATTTGGAATCCAAAAAGGAGCTGGGCACTGTGATGCGCTCGCTGGGCCAGAACCCCCACGGAGGCCGAGCTGCAGGACATGATCAACGAGGTGCGCTCTGAGCTTTGCGCAGTAAAGGTTCACAGTTCTCGCTCACGGTTGACTGGGTGACTGGGTGCAAGCCGTGCAAGCTACATAATAAAGCAGGGTGCCGCAGGTGGATGCCGATGGCAACGGAACCATCGACTTCCCCGAGTTCCTGTCCTTGATGGCTCGCAAGATGAAGGCACTGGAGTTGTGAAAGTTTCGGTTTGAAAAGCTCCAGTCCCGAGTCGAGACTGTTGAACATTTTTCAGCGTGTGCGCAGGACACCGACACGGAGGAAGAGCTCATCGAGGCATTCAAGGTCTTCGACCGCGATGGCAACGGTTTCATCAGCGCGGCGGAACTGCGTCACGTGATGACCAACCTGGGCGCCTGCCTGAGTGGTTCTGGAGTGGGTGGATGAGCCATGATGTTCGCATGATGTTCGCATGATGTTCGCATGACGTTCGCATGATGTTCGCATGATGTGTATGTGAGCGACAGAGAATTGGACACCCCCAGGTGAGAAGCTCACGGACGAAGAGGTCGACGAGATGATCCGCGAGGCCGATGTGGACGGTCCGGACCTGAGTCACCCGAGTGACGCAATGTGTCTCATGTCACACTGTCGTGTCCGTTGGCGCCTTCTACGACAGCTGTCACCTCGTCCTTGTGATTCACGTGTGTCCTGCACCCAAAAAAGGCGATGGCCAGATCAACTACGAGGAGTTCGTGAAGATGATGATGGCCAAGTGAGGTGTCGAACGCGACGCCGCCTGCAGGTAAAGCGCTGGCCGCAACCGCATTGGGCCTGCGAAACAATTTCCCGCTCGAAGCTGTATCATGGATCGCAACATCATGCCGGAGAAACAATTCAGCTGCGCGTTGCAGCTCTATGTGGCGCTCTGCTGTTTTCTTTTGCAGTTTCAGACTTTGAGTTTGCTGCCTGCTTTTGCTTACATGTGCTTCCCGCAATCGGTCACGGCCAGTCCTTCCTTCAAGACGATGCCCTCTTCACAGCACAGACCCCGCAGCTGTTCGAGGCGGCCCCGCATAGGTGGGTTTAAAGTTTAGGGTTTGGGGTTCAGGGTTTTGGGTGGGAGTTGCGTTGGGCGCGTTGGGTTCTCTCTCTTTCTCTTCCTCTCTCTCTGTCCTTTCTCTTTTCTCTCTCCCCTCTCTCTCTCTCTCCCTCTCTCTCTCTCTCCTCTCTCTCGCTCTCTCTCCTCTCTCTGTCTCTCTCTCTCTCTCTCGCTCGCTCGCTCGCTCGCTCTCTCTCTCTCTCTCTCTTTCTCTCTCTTTCTCTCCCCGTACTTTCGACGATGTCTGGAGCCCTGTTTCAGAAAACTAACAAGCCACAAGCTTTTCAACCCAGGAATCAAGCTCGCCACAAATCCTGAGCCTTCTCGAAGCCCGATGGTGCTTTTTTGAACCCGTTTGCCTCTTGGACCTTCCGCCGTTGAAATCCGAGACCCAACAAACCTGAACAACGCTCGATACAGCAGCTGGACGAGAGTCAAGACGATTCCGGAAGCTGCGGTTCAGGAAACTCGGCGATTGAGGAAACTACGCTGTTCGGAAGCTGGCTGTGCGCAATTCAGGAAACCGTGATTCAGGAAACCAAACGATTCAGGAAACTGGGTGGGGGGAGTTGGGGGATGCTCTCAGACAGTTTTCCCGAATCCGAGGGTTTCCCGAGTCCGTGGTTTCCAGTTTCCCGAAGTCGCGCTTTCCGAATCCGCTCGTCTTCCAGTTTCCGAATCCACTGCTGAGCCAAACATGTCGCCCTGAACCTTAAGGACCTTAAGAACCCTAAGCCCCAAGGTCGGGCATCGGCTTCACGAGAAGGCCGCCATTCTCGAACGTTTCGACTTCCCGTGCGGCGCCCGACCAAAGTTGCAACGGCATCAGGGGCTCCAGAGGGCAAAGAGGGTGAAAGTTTCAGGGTTTGCAGAGGGGTGAGGCTGTGGGGTTGAGGGGGCATGTGAGCGCTGTTCATCCGCACCATCCAAGGTCCCTCAACCTTAAACCCGAAACCTTAAACCCAAAACCCTAAACCCCAAACCCTGAACTCCAAGCCCCAAACCCTAAACGACAATCGCGAGCACGCGCACGAGGGGCGAGTACGAGACGCCGCTGCGGGATGTGCCGAGGCTGGCGAGGCAGCAGCTCCGTTTGATTGGGTTTAGGGTTTAGGGTTTAGGGTTTAGGGTTTAGGGTTTAGGGTTTAGGGTTTAGGGTTTAGGGTTTAGGGTTTAGGGTTTAGGGTTTAGGGTTTAGGGTTTAGGGTTTAGGGTTTAGGGTTTAGGGTTTAGGGTTTAGGGTTGCAGCGACGCTAGGGATTCAAGTTCTAGGGTTAAGGGCCCGAGGCTAAGGGTTCAAAGGTCAGGGCATGAGGGCTTGGCAGCATTTTTTTTGTCCAGGAAGGACCAGTTGAATTGTTCCCTCAGGCCCTCTACTCAGAACCCCTCAAGGCCCCTGTGGCCCCCATTCACACCAATAGTCTACTTGGGGGTAACGCACTAATGAATCTAAAGATGGTTATGGTTGGTTTCTTTGTTTCTCATAGTCTTTGAGCATGTCAACTTTTCAGGAGGCCCCGTACATGCGAACGGATGAGACCTGACAGATGTCTAAGAAGGCGGTGCTTTCCATGGGCCTCCACCGCGGCTGAGTGCACCTGGTATCAGTGCGAAGCAGGCCTGCCCACCGGTTCTGCACAAGGTCGTGGACTTCCGGGTCTTACTCGTTTTGGGAATATGAGGATTTCAGTGACAGGTAACTGCTTGTGGAAATGGAAGAGACCGAGACAGAAGATGGACCCCCAAAGTCCTACGGCTCCCAGAACCACTCCAAGACAGCCTGGTTGGGCTTGTACTGTGCGCGAAAGATGCTGATTTCCTTATCCTTGGCCCTTACCCTCAGGCTCCCTGGACATCAAACTCTGTATGCTTCTGCGAAACATGGATATTAGGCCCTGTGCCATTGACACTGGGGACCCGATGGTTCATTCTGTCGGAGGAGAAACTTAACCCTCAACCACGACACCCCAAGATCTTGCCAGGAGAGATAGCTGCAGCAGACGGTCAGGCCCTGCTTCTGTTTTCAATGGTTACGGCACTCCTGGCCCCACGTTGTTTTCGAGAATTCAGGAGTTGGGGCGATTTAGAGGGTTTACCAAGCACCCTACCCGAACCACAGATCGTCTTGTTGACGAGCCTGCAGGTGTCCTAGATCAAAGCATGGTACACCTTAAAATTGGTTCGCAAAGTCTGATGAGTGTGGACCTGCAATATGCATCTAGCCTCATGATCAGCCCTAAAGCCAAAAATCGAAATCACAAGAGATGGTGCGGGGGGGGGCGAGGTCATGTTTCACATGCAACCAGGAACTAGGCCATTGCCAACGCACTTTCAGATCGTTGTGCGGAGGGTGCTGTAGCGGCGGCTGGGCTTGCAGTAGTGCTTGGCCAGGAGATTGATCAGTGCACCTGCTACCAGAAGCAGGCGCATGGCTCCCAAAGCAATTCTGAGGGCTTGTGGTGCAGGGCGTGGATGCGCAGGATGCTTTGGCTTTCAAGGTTTGGGTTCACATGCGCTGCGCAGCTGTCGGAAATGAGCTCCATGTCCTTCAATGCAGACCTAAACCCCAAAGCCCCAAAGCCCCGCAAACTACCCTAAGCCCTAAACCGAAACCCCAAACCCCAAAATCTCATCACCCTAAACCCCTAAGCCCCCCAGGAGCCTACAACCTTCAAGCGCACGGCCGCAGAATCGTTAAAAGACATCCCCAAACTGCAGCCTAACCATTTAAGCCCTGAATCACCATGAAAATCCTCCGGTTGCACCTTAAACCCTACAAACACTAAACCCTGCACCCACAAGGGGCCTGCAGACTGCAATGGCACTGCCGCGCGCCTCTTCGGCCCAAACACCTCAGAGGTGGGAAGCAGCTGGCTGGGTTTATTGCTCAAGGGTTTACAGGGTTGACTTAGGGCTTAAACGATAGACATGAGTACGTACTACCCCTAGAAACACCAGCCAAGAAGACCCGAGGGGTGTGCTAATGCGACAGGACATCCTTCATGGAAATTGCACGCCCATCATCAGCAAGATTTTGGGTGTAACCATCTTTGCTACTGCGCTTAAATTTGGCGCCGTGGACAGTTTTGCAACACGGAAATCGGCCCATCTATTAGAGGAGTCTGTGGCCGAGGACCTCCTCGAGTCCTCGAAGACTAAATGACTCTTTGGCTGGCCAGTTGTGAAGTACATCCTGTTCTCGGAACCATTGGATGTGTCCGCTTTGAAAGACGCAC